CCGGGCGATTGGGGGTACCCGAGTAATTTCCGCAGAGGTACCTTCCTCCAACCTAAATCGGCCTCTCATTCCACTAGAGAATTCTCTCCCGGCGTTTACTAATACCTATGCATATAGACTTATTCGTATGACTGCTCAACACTTTTTTCTCTGCTAGAAGTTCTTGAGAGCAGGGACCTTGTCTTTGTCCAGATATTCTTTTATTTATTTATTTATTTTTTAAAACAATTGTAGCAGAGACGGGATCTCAGGATGCTCTCGAACTCCTGGGTTCAAGCAATTCTCTCTCCTTGGGCCTCCCAAAGTGCTGGGATTACAAGCATGAACCACTGCACCCGGCCCAGACTTTTTTTTTTTTGAGTGGGAGTCTCACTCTATGGTCCAGGTTGGAGTGCAGAGGCACTATCACCACTCACTGCAACCTTGATACCTTGGGCTCAGGCAATCCTTCCACCTCAGCCTCCTGAGTGACTGGGATTACAGGCGTGCATCACCATGCCTGGCTAAATATTTTGTCTTTTTTGTGGAGAGGGGATCTCGCTATGTGCCTAGGCTGGTCTCAAATTCCTGGGCTCAATCAATCCTCTTGCCTCGGACTTACTAAGTGCTGGAACTAAGAATTACAGGCGTGAGCCACCACACCCGACCTAAGACCCAGACATCCTTGATAGTGGTAATTTGTATATTATTATTTTTTGACTAATCTAGCTACAGGCTTATCAGTTTTTAAATTTTTTCAAGAAGCCATCTTTTGGTCCTATTTATTTTCTGTTTTGTAGCTTCTTATTGCTCACTTAGGGTTTGATTTTTCTCTTCTGTGTTTCTAGTTGCTTAGAATAGAAGATTATTGATTCTGGACCTTTCTATTTTGTTAGTATAGGCGTTTAAGGCTATAAATTGCCCTCTAAGTGCTGCTTTAGCTGCTTTGTACTATTTTTATATGCTGTGTTTTCATTTTCATCGTTGAAAATAGCTTTTTTTTTTTTTTTTTTAGTTGGAGTCTCACTCTGTTGCCCAGGCTAGAGTGCAGTGGCACATTCACAGCTACCACCAAAGCCTCAACCTGCTAGGCTCTGTTGCCCAGGCTAGAGTGCGGTGGCACATTCACGGCTACCACCAAAGCCTCAACCTGCTAGGCTCAACCTTCTGCCTCAGCTTTCCAAGGAGCTGGAACTACAGGTACTTCTTTGACCTTGTAAAGGAAAATAAAAATGTTAGGATTCCCCCTTCCCCAAACTTGTTACAGCTAAAGGTAGAGTTAAGCAATTTCCCAAATGATAGCTGTTACTTCCCAACCTTGCATCAAAGTGTTATCATTAGCCAGATACCCACAAAGGGCAAAAAGCCTCATGTGTCTCCAGATGGCTTCTCTCAGAAATTGTTCATAATTAAATTATTTGCTGGCCCTTAAACCTTTCAAGATGTATATCCTCCCATAAAACAAGGACAAATTCGTTGTAACTTTAGATCTGGAACCTAGTATGAGCTCTGAAAACTAAAGTCTGTTAACATTTCACTCTGACAACGTCAATTAAAAACTTATCTTACCAGGGGCAGAACAAGGGCAAGATGAGATCAATACCTGAGAAGAATGCATACTTGGCTCTTCCTTTAATCCCTTTTCTTGGAATGTTCCCAATATCTTGTGTATAGCGTAGATTTACTGGACGCTCATTAAATTAAAGTCTCACAAAAATGTAACCATTTGCCTCACCACCTATCCCCCTCTCCCTAGATGCCTTCTCACCTTTAAAGAAATGTGTAAATACTGAGCCTTCTAAAATACCATGCCAGAGAGCACAGGTCATAGACGTTTCTGTGACTTGTGTTTTCCTTGGATGTACCCTCAATCTCTGGCTCGACAAACCTCAATTGTGACTCTTACCAAAGTCCTTCATTTGGGTTGACAACTCACTTCTTTGAAGTGTGCTGTTTACTAAAAATATTTAGAGGTTTTCCTAGTACTGTTATTTCTCATTTAAGTCTGTTGTGGCCAAAGATGTTCTCAGATTTTAGTATTTTGAAATTTATTGAAGCTAATTTCTGCCTTGGTAAACATTTCATGTACACTTTAAAAATAATTTTTAAAAAATTTATGTTGTACAGACTGTATATATAAGAATGAGCATTGGACAGTTGAGTGATTCTCTAACTCTTAATTGGTACTATAAATATCAATTCAGTTACATATTATTGATAGTGTTGTTTAGATCACCTATATTATTAATGATTTTTTGTCTAATTCTATTATTTATTAAGAGAAGAGTATTAAGAGTTTATGATTGTGGATTTGTCAGTTTCTTCTTTTAGTTAGGGAGTTTTTTGCTTCACGTATTTCAAAGTTGTGTTATTAGCTGCATACACAGGATTTTTATGTCTTCAGTTAGGTATTTATGTTTTCCTGATGATTGGTTTTAAGAAAGAAATAGTTCTGTGGACTGCTCCTCCTTATCTCTATTAATACTCCTGGCTTAAAGTCTGTTTTGTCTGATATTAATATAACTACTCCATCCTTCTTAGGCTTACTCTTTGCTGGGTTGCTATGTAACTTTTCAGTTAATATGTGTCTTTGTATTTAAAGTATGTATCTCTTATAGATAACTTACAGTTGGTTCTGAATATTTAGAAATCCAGTCTGATAATATCTTCCTTTTAATTGGCGTTTTCAATCTATTTATATTTGTCTATTTACATTTAGTCTATTTACATTACAATAATGATGTGTTAGATTTACACTATCAATTTGCAGTTTTTATTCTATTTGCTTTATCCCTGATTGTTCCTCTGTTCCTTCTTCCCTGTTTTCTTTTGGGTTAATAGAAAATTCTGATTATTTTATTTTAATTCCACCATTGGCTTTCTATTATAACTCTTTACATTATTGTTGTTGTTGTTGTTTTTAGAGACAGGGTCTCACTCTGTCACCCAGACTGAAGTGCATTCACATTATCTTGGCTCACTGCAACCTTGACCTCTGTAGCTCAAGTGATCCTCCTGCTCCAACCGCCCAAGTAGCTAGAACTGCGAGTGTGTGCACACTCAGCTAATTTTTAAAAAATGTTTTGTAGAGGAAGGGTCTCTAATTTTTTTATTATTATTATTTTGTAGAGACAAGGTCTCGCTATGTTGTCTAGGCAAATCTTGAACTCCTCGGCTCAAGCAATCTTCCTGCCTGGGCCTCCCAAGGTATATTGGGATTACGGGTGTGAGCCACCATACTGGGCCCTCTGAAGAAGTTTAGAAAACAAAATTCTTATCATGAAGATCTGCCGGTGATAAATTCTAAGTTTTCATTTATCTGAAATTATCTTTGTTTTACCATCATTTTCAAATGATATTTCACTTGATCTAGAATTTTAGGTTGATGTTGTTCCCCTTAACCCATCCAAGTTCAATTCTACAAATGTCACTCCTTTGTTTTCTGGCCTTCATTGTTTCTGAGTCTTATCCCTCCACCTACCCACCCAGTTTGTACCTCATCATTTTCTCTAGCTGCCTTTAATATTTTCTATTTTTCTTTGTTTTCTATATTTTGACCATGATATTCTTGGTATGATTAGAATATCATGTTTTGTTCAGCTTCTTGAATCTGTACTTTTATGTTTTCCACAAAATTTGAAGAAATTTTAGTGATTTTTTTTTTTTTTTTTTTTTGGAGTTGGAGTTTCACTCCGTCGCCCAGACCAGAGTACAGTGGCCACTCCCGGCCACCGCAGCCTCAGCCTCGACCTGCCAGGCTCCAGAGATCCTTCCGCCTCAGCCTTCCAAGTAGCTGGAATTATAGGCGTTCACTACCACACCCAGCTCATTTTTCATTTATTGTAGAGATGAGGTCTCGCCAAGTTGCCCAGGCGGGTCTTGAACCCGCAGGCTTGGGCAATCCACTCACCTCAGCCTCCCGAAGGTGTGGGATTACAGGCTGAACCACTGAGCCCGGCTAGTGATTATTTCTTTAAATTTTTTAATCTGTCCTATTATCTGTTTCCTTTCCTTCTGAGATTTCTATTACATGTATGTTATACTCTTTGATATTGTCCCAAAGGTAAGCACAACTCTACCTACCTATTCATTTTTTTGAATAGTTTTTAATCTCTGTTTTTTAGATTCAGTAATTTCACATAATCTGTTTTACATTCACTGACCCTTTGACTCTTTCCAATCAGCTATTAAGCCCACCCAATATATATTTTAAAAATTTTCAGACTTTGTACTTTTCAGTTCTGGTCTTCCCAATTAGTTTTTTTTTTTTTTTGAGCTTCTGTTTCTCAGTTGATATTTCCCATCTTTTAATTAGTTTTGAATTATTTTTAAACTCATTGAATATATATATATATAATAACTTTTGAAATTTTTTTCCTGCTGATTCTTACATCTGGGTCA